AGAGAGAGAGAGAGAGAGAGAGAGAGAGAGAGAGAGAGAGAGAGAGAGAGAGAGATTAAATCAAAGTGTAAAGTAATCAGAGTATAACCTTGGAAAGAAAGAACCAATGACCCAAATAGGAAAACCCAAATGAAACTTTGTGCTGTGGCTATTTGTGGAAGCACCTGTTTAAACCTTAATGTACAGCTGGTTTGTGGAAAGAGAAGAGAGAGAGAGAGAGGGAGGAGATGGCCACAAGTTGATGGAGCTTTGACCACCAAGTCCTCCGAGGAAAAGTTCTTTACTTCATGAAGTTCAGATCAGAAGCCTTGCTGGACCCATTAACCCTTACTTGTTCATGCTGTGTGAGTAAGTACAATACATGGCAATGCGCACTATGCTTAACTTTACCCCTGGTGAGCTCAGCTCACTATCCCAGGAAGCAGAGAAAGGCATGAGAACTAGGGAGTGGGCATGGCTATCAGACCTGAAAGACAGAAAGGGCGGGGCCAGCTGAAGCAGCCTAGGAAGTTGATTGAATAGTGGTAAGGAGGTGTGGCACAGCTACTGCTTAAATGCAAGGGCAAGCAGAGCAGCAGGGAGGCACAAGGAAAGCCAGCTGACACACAGGCCAGCACAGAAGCATTGTCCTCAGAGAGGCCAGCCAAGTCCCCAGACAGAGGAGTAGCCCAGTGAAGCTTGCTGCTCTTGGGATCCCCCATGGAGTCCTCAGCAGTGGAGATGGAGTTTGCCCATCACCTGGAAACCTTGCTTAAGCTGCGGGAGTGCCTGCACAGGGAGACAGAGTCCCACAAACTCTACAAAACCCTGAAGAAACTCTCTTCTCAGCCCATCCTATGTGACACCCTGGAGAAGATTGGCTTCAGGCAAACCATCAAGCGCTTGAGGGAAGAGCAGCTCCTGGGCCCGTTTGCTAAGGAATTTGCCACCCTGTGGTCAAGAAGGTCCCAGTTTGGGCACCAGTCTGAGTCAGACATACAGAACTTTGCCATTCAGGCGAGCCTCATGACAGAGTCGTCAAAAAACTCTCCAGAAGAAAAGCCCCATGAGCCCAGGTCTACGGAAGACAGAGAAAATGGGAGAAAGGTCTTGGAGGCTTGCAGTAACAGTAAACACCCAAGTCCGGGCCTAAGCCAGAGCCCAAACTCGACCCTAAGCTCGAGGCTGAGCCTCAGCTAACACAGAAACCCAGGCCAAAAAGAAACTCGCAGCCCAAGGCTGGAGCTAAGAGGAAGCAAAAGGCACAGCACATCTTGTGGGGACCCCAGGCTAACTGCACAGAGCCAGGAGAATGTAGCAAAGTGCTCCCGCGGACATGTAGAGGAGCCCGGGCAGCTCCAAGAAGACAAGCTCCTCTCCAGCAAGTCAGATGCTGGACCAGCAAAGCAGTACCTTTCTCCTCTGCAGAGAAAGAGCCCAGGACATTGTATTCTGCAAGACCACCCTACTGAGCCTTCTGAGGCTTGCTCCAACTATGACAGCTCTGCTTCCTCTGCTCTGCCCCTGCCACAGCCTACAAGCAAGAGGAAGAAGAAATGTACCTGGACAGTTGAAGCCCAGAGCCCTGTAGCAAAGGCGCCTCTTGGCAAGTCTTGCAGCAGCAAGGAGCTAAATTGCCTTGATGTGAGTCCCCTTTTAGAAGTGGCCTCCAGTTGCCAAGATGACTCCCTCCTGGATGGCCCGGAGCAATATTCTTTGCACACTGATCAAGAAGAACCAAATTGGACAAGCAGGGTCAACTTCAGAACGCCAGTCTATTCGGGTCGCGCACCTTCCAGGCTCCTGAAGAATTCCAAGGAAGGGCAACATGCCGTGCCCTCTTGCCCCTTGGAAACTCAGTGCCAACCAGCTGGAAACAAAGCTGAGCCCTGGAAGCAAGTAGAGAAATCCCTGCCCCGGACTCGTATTGCCAAGGCAAATCCCACCCAGACTGAGACCCAGACACACCTCCAGCTGGAAAAGTCCCAAGAGCTCAGGTTGCAAGCCCTTAAAGCCCGCATCCAAAGCACACAAGCCAATAAGTCACAAAGCCGTCAAACCAATTTACTCACCTTCGACTCCAATAATACCAGCTCAAGACAGCAGACATACTCTGGACCAGGAGGGGAGTCCTCCTCTGACAAGAACAGTCTTTCTGAAGACTTGGCCCCTAGTCACTTGCAGAGAGCTCCCTGCCTGCCTGCAGGAGGCAGCACCAAGACCCAGGCAAAGAAAAGGACCCCTCTCTTGGCCAAGGCCCTCAGGGATTACAAGAGGATTTCCCGCAGGTGAACCTAGGATGCTCTCTCTACTGGAATTGTTCTCAGTCACTGTGCTGCAGTGACTGAGAGTGACTCCTATTCTGAGGGGCACCGGAAATTTCTAATTTTCTAGCACCTACTGCCTGGATCCATGCTTGAGCCATGGCAGCCCTCTTTCAAGATCCTGGACAGGCTTCCCTGCCTGTTCACTAAACTCACTTGGAATATTTGAGCACCAAAGAGTGCATAGATCTCACAGGCAAAAATACATGGGTTCCCAGGCGAAACACTCGACTTTGGAATTTCTGTCCACTCAAACTCTTTCTATGGAGTCAAGAGGTGAGGACCTGGCCTGCAAAAACAAAGATTACCCAAACCTCAGACCTTTGCCTTCATCTTCCATTGTCATATGGTTGAAGACCGAGAGACTGAACATCCTGATTAGTACCTGCAAGGACTTCACAACCAATATGGATTTATGTTGATTCCTTCCTTACCTCAACTGACAGCAGAGTGGCTGGTCCCTTCTGATAACTGTCTATTTCTTTGCCTGATACACTTGTCATTGAACTTTCTTATATTGGACATGACTTCTTTCCTTGTGTTTGGACACTTGATTATTTCCTCCCTATTGATTTGTGATTCTTCTCTGTATTCTAAAATATGTTTTATTGCCATTTATTTATAAAGAAGCTTGCTTGGCCTATGGCAGTGCAGAAAATAGCCAAGCAGGAAGTCTGGACAGAGATAGAGAATAGATGGAGTCAGAGAGACTCCATGTTACTCCCAAAGGTGTAAGACTTCTGAATCTTACCTGTTGACCATAGTCTCCTGGTGTCACACAGATTAATATAGATGGGTTAATTTAATATATAAGAGCTAGTTAGGAATATGCCTAAGTTATTAGCCAAACAGCATTGTAATTAATTTATTTTCTGTGTGATTATTTATGTCTGGGTGGCCGGGAAAGAAAGACCAGTCTCTGTTTACACCCTGTCACCATAGCAAAGTGCTTGGTAAATGCACAGAAATAACACGGGAGGTTTCATTTGCACACCAATATAGGCAGAGTATTGGCATCCTTTCCCTAATACACAAATGGGTTCCCATAAACCTGTACACAGCCATGTGCATATTATAAGAATATATGCATATTTAGAAAGATAGTTTCAGGGATCCATAGATTCATAGTGACATAGGGTTACATAAGTTTATGTAGAGTTGCTAGATGGTGTAAAATACAGCTAGTAGATAGGTAAGTGTACAAACATACCTATGGATTCATATATAGATCAGTACATTCATAGACTTTTGGATCTATACATAGAGAAATGTTAATAAATATTAATCTGATGAACGTTTTGCATGTATGCTTTCATCCATGCAATAATTTCTTAAACTAAAAGATAAAATATTAAACAAAAGATTCTAAAACTGTGTAAAAACAAAAGGAAACAAAAATCAACAAAAAAGACCCTATAAGAAAATATGTGCATTGTAGCAACTGTCTTTCCTTTTCCCTCTGTGTTTGTGTTAGCGTATGTGTTTATATAAGTACATAAAGAAATAAGGGTAGTTTAATATTGTCAAGGAGATCTTAGTTATTCTATGCCATTAGGGAAAGAGAATAGGAATTGTGGAAACCTCCCTAATAATCAATCTCTTGAAAATCCCTGTATTCAGTTTCATAGAGTCCAAGCAAGCAAAACCTGGAGAGAAAAGTAGAGGTGTGTGTACTAGCTAATAAAATTTGTTTGAGAATTCCAGGAAGAAAGTGAGGTGGAGAAGGATATGTTATCATTTTTTTTCTATAATAAATGAAGGTTGTGTGAAGATCAGAGTGCAGAGATAGCCGCACTAAATAGTCATAAGAGACAGGCAGTGGTGACACACATTTATTCCCAGTACTATGGAGAAACAGAGACAGATTGATGGCTCTGAATTCAAGGTCACCATGGCCAACACAAGATTGCATCAGTCTAAAAGATAAATAGATAGGTGTGTGGTAGGTCACCCTTTAATCCCAGCACTCTGCATAACAGAGGCAGGAGGGTGTCTCTCTCTACAAGTTCACTATGGCCTACACAAGATTGAATTAGTCTTAAAGAGAAACAGCCAGGGCATGCTGGCTCACACCTTTAACTCCAGCACTAAGGAGTGGAAATGAGAAAAAATGACTGGGCTTAGAGAGGAATAGGAGATAGGAGCTCAGGTTCAGCCTGATGTTTCCTACAGACAGCAATCAGTCTAAGGGTTCCTGAAGAGAGGATCTTGTTCATTTTGGCCCGAGAATTTGCTAGAGTTAAAAGGTCTCTCTAGTGACTGGCTCCTTTATTTCTTTGACTTTTCAGTATTCACCCTAATATGTGAGTCTGAGTTTTTATTAAGAAGACCAAACAGAATTCATGCTACAAAATATATAGAGTCAGGGAAGAAAAAGATAGTCTCTCTCTCTCTCTCTCTCTCTCTCTCTCTCTCTCTCTCTCTCTCTCTCTCTGTGTGTGTGTGTGTGTGTTTTCTCTGTCTTTGTTATAAAGAAAGAAAGACAATAAAAAAGCCAGGACATTCCAGTAAGGCATTACAGACATTGTAGAATCCACCCTTATATCCAACTCCTTAATCAGACCTGGATTCAAGATTACAATGTTTCAGAAATATAAACCTAGAGAGACAACCAGAGGTATGGGTACCAGCTTATAAAATACTTTAGAGAATTTGTGGTGGCACACGCCTTTAATCCCAGCACTCACGATGCAGAAGCAGGCAGATCTCTGTGAGTTTGAGGCCAGTCTAGTCTAAAAGAGCTAGTTCCAGGACAGGCTCCAAAGCTACAGAGTAACCCTGCCTTGAAAAACTATAAAAAAATTTACAGAATCCCAGAAAGGAAGTTAAGGGCTATAAGATTTACCAAAACAGGAGAAGTAAAGTGTGTTGGACTCTAGCATCCAAACACTGAGGTGGAGTTGCCCCCAGCGACCACCTCTCACACCACAGCTGATGAAAAAGCATGCGGATTTTATTAATTCTGTCATGACAGGGTCCCCCAGCACTGGGGAAGCGAGAGACCTCAAAAAGCTAGTACAGGCTCCTTTTAAAGTAGAAGCAAGGGAGGTTGTTCTTTAACTGTTATGATTGGCTTTTTCGAAAGGGCTATTACCCATAATTGGCTGAAGAGCTGTTGCCAGATCAGATGAGGTAAGAGGTCATTTTGACCCCATTTCCCAGGGGACTTAATCAAAACATATGTGTATGGGTAATTGTTCAGAAACTGAGTCAACATCTTAAAGGTTATCTTGTTCCAATTTCTGGAGAACGTGCATATGTAGCTGTTAGGTCCTTGGTTCCCAGGGGAGGAAGGGAAGCACTATGGCACAGAGGCTGAGAGGATTCAGAATTGTCAGAAATGGCTTCAGAATTGTCTTAAAGTTTTACAAGGGTACTCTGTGTGTGTGTGTGTGTGTGTGTGTGTGTGATTAATTCTATAGAGAAAGGAATGTACTTAAAAAAGAGCCAAGAGACCGCAGATATTCTAAATCATAGGGGAAGTGAACAGGCATTGTGGAATTCACCATTAGAACCAGTCTTTCTGGTGTTCCTGGGTTCCAGTAAACAAAAGCTGGAGGGAAACCAAAGATGTGGGTACTAGCTTAAAATTATTTTAAGAATCACAGAAAGAAGGTGTAGGGAAGACAGTTATACTGAATGGTGGGAAGAATTATCCTGTGTGTGTGAGTCACAGAGAATCTCTCTGCAAACAGAGTCCCATGAGGCTGTGTTGTGGGAGCAAGAAGAAGGGAGAGAGGTCTCCAAGGGCAGCAGTAGCAGCAAACACCCCTGTCCCAGACTAAACCTGAGCTGGAGCCTATCACACAAGCAAGAACAGACCAAAGGGCAACGTGCAACCCAAGTCTGGAGCTAAGAGAAAGCAAGAATGAAGGGGGCCTTTTGGGGACTTGCAGCTAGCTGCACAGAGCCAGGTTCAGGGAGCAAAGACCCAAGGAAGTTTGGAGGGACCCTGGTGACTCCAAGGGACAAATCTCCTCTGCAGCAAGTCAGATGCTGGGCTAAAAAAGCAAAGCCTGTTTTCCTTGAGGGGAAAGTGTGGAAGTCTCTGTGTACAGGAAGGACACCTGACTGGAACTATTGAGGCTTGCCTCAAGTAAAACAGCTCTCCTTCTTTCTCTGCTCTGTCACTGTTGCTACCTTCATGTAAAAGAAAAGCACCAGGAAAGCTAAGGTACAGTGAACTGGAGCAAATGTGCTTTGGGGAGATTGTGAAAGATGCAAGGTTCAAAATTGCACTGCTGTGTGTCCTCATGCAGAAGTGGCCTCCAGTTGCCAAGCTGATTCCCCCTGGATGGCCAGGATCACTCTTCATTTCATACTGACCAAGCATACCCAGCAGGGGTGAGCAAACGCTAGTCTATTAGGCTCCTGCAACTGCTGGGCTGCTGCAAGAGCTTTTTCTGCTCCTTCAGCTGATAGCCTTTAAGATACTAGTCCATTGAAGGCATGATCTCTTACACTTTATTTTTTTTAAGTTTTTATTATTTATTTATTAAAGATTTCTGCCTCCTCCCCACCACTGCCTCCCCCATCAAGTCCCCCTCCATCGTCAGCCTGAAGAGCAATCAGGGTTTCCTGCCCTGTGGGAAGTCCAAGGACCAACCACCTCCATCCAGGTCTAGTAAGGTGAGCATCCAAACTGCCTAGACTCCCACAAAGCCAGTATATGCAGTAGGATCAAAAACCCATTGCCATTGTTCTTGAGTTCTAAGTAGTCCTCATTGTCCGCTATGTTCAGCGAGTCCAGTTTTATCCCATGCCTTTTCAGACATGGGATGTACTCACTCATATTTTGTTTCTAGCCATAAATAAAGAACATTGAGCCTATAATTCATGATCCTAGAGAAGCTAAATAAGAAGGTGAACCCAAAGAAAACCATATAGGCATCCTCCTGAATATTAACCTTCATCAGGCGATGAAAGGAGACAGAGACAGAGACCCACATTGGAGCACCGGACTGAAAT